TGCAAATTTAATTTAATGTATAATTTTCAAAAAAATAATTTTTAAAAAGATTTAGTGGCCAAAAAAAGTAGTACCTCTAATTTATCTTTTTTTCCCTCAGCTAACTAGGATCTGGTGACATTTTTCCTTAATCCTATCTATAATTGTCAAACTGATTACCATGTTATTTCCCCCAGGATATTAGAATTTTCACAATGCATAATATGCTGCGGGCTGTATAATGGAAGACAATATTTGGTAATGTATTATTTGTAATGTAATATTTTACCCAAAATATTAATATGGAAAAATGCTTCCATTTTCTTATTTTCCTCAAAAAAACTTTTTTTTGGTTTACTCCGTTTACGGTTTTCCAGAAAGTTTTTACTCCCTTTGGGTCATTTTACCTAAACTATCTTTTGTTTCTGTTGCATACATTTATAGTGATGATGTATTTTGCATTGAAGTAAAAATACTACTTTGTTTATATTTTGTTACTTTTATGACAAATAATTTCACATTCGAAGCTTCCTCACTCATGTGATAAGAATCTAACATGCTCAGAAACCATTATATAAATGTTAATAAACCACATGAAAGAAATAAATGTATTTGGTTTTCTGGGGCATGATGTCCCTTTTAAAAAAATTAAAATTTTGAAAAGAGAGAAAGATAACAAATTGGGTAGGGATAATCAAACCCCAAAATAAACTTTGAGTAAATCTTTACCCCAAAGGGAAAAATTTTTTATGCACTTGGGAAGGCTTTTCATAAGGAAAATCTAATTTTTAAAAAACAGCCATTTTTAGAATATCATTTAAAAAAATTTCATTAAAGAACAAAACAAAATTAACAAACTTTAAACTAATGGGGTCAAAAAGTATTATTTTTATCAATTTTAAAAATTTTTTTATTTCTACATTATTTTTTTAAATTTTTTAATTTTTGATTTCCCGCAGGGAAATTAAAATAAGTTTTTTATTTAAAGAAATTTCAAAAAAATTTTCTACTGTTCAAAAAAGAATCAAAATTTAAACCCCCGGGGACATGGAACCTAAAAACCCTTGAATGTAAAATTTGTACCCATGTTAATCAGGATTTTGGATTTTGTCTCTAAATTTTTTGTATTTTCTCATAAGGGCCTGTAAATTAACCTTTGAATTTTATTTGTAATTTTTTTCTTTGCTTGTTCTATTTTCATATTCAGTTCTTTATTTATTATCAAAATTTTCTGTTGTATATTCTAAATTTTATTATCTTATCACCTCATCTTTTTCTTATCTATTCCAAATCTTCAATTTCTTCTTCCTCTGTAACAAATATCACACATTTATAATTTACACTGTTTATATTAATAACATTATTATTATTTTAATTTATTTTTGTATTTTTGGGTTGATTCACACCAGCATTGTAGAATTGTTACAGCTTTCAATCTTAACTGATAGTACTCTTGCAAAAGCAAACAAAGGGCCATGATTGTTCCCTGAAACCGCTACCTTATATATGCCCTGGAGGGGCCAATTTTAACCCAAGGCTTTTTATTTTGAACAATTTTTTAACACCTATTAGAAAGATTTTTCATGAAAAATATCTAAGCTCTAGCCGAGATTTTAAAAAGAAGATTTTTTAATTTTTACTATACACAAAAGGGGAAAAACAATTATCTCCCCCCCCCCCCCGGGCGGGGTCAATTTCGACCCAAGTTTTTTATTTTAAAAAACTTTGTACACACTCACTAAAATTTTCATATTTGGGTATCTAAACTCTACTTTTTGGGTTTTTTTAAAAAGAAAAATTTTTTTCAGTTTTTTATATACATAAGGAAAATCATTTACCCCCCGGGGGGGGCCCAATTTTTTCCCCTTATTTGAACAAACTTTGGTAGACACCCATTTGAAGAAATTTCATGAAAATTTTTTACTCTAGCCCCTTTGGGTTTTTTTAATTTAAAAATTTTAATTTTTTTCACCCCTTTTAAAGTTCACAAAAAGGGCCAATTTTCCCGTGAATTTTTGGAAGAAATTTTGGGGGTTTGCCCTTTTTGAGGAGGAAATTTGTTTAAAAGTTTTAAAATTTAACAGAAGGGCATCGTACTTTTTCCCAAAAAAGGTACTTATTTTAGTTTTTCCTTTGGAAAACCCTTTTTTCCCTTTTTATCCCCACAAGGGTTAAAAAAAAACAACACAAAGTAAAAACGGGAAAAATTTTTGGGTAAAGAGAAATTTTCTGTTACCGTCATTTGTTTCTCCCAAAGGGACACAAATACCCCATTGTTTTAAATTTTTTCTTATTTTAAGGGCCCTTACCGGGCCAGATTTGGGCCCGATTCGAAAAGCGACCCCAAAAACTTTTTTTAAGGTTTAGCTAAAAAAAATTAAAAACCCCTTGCTTACTGTTTAAATTTGCTTTGGGGGTTGTCTCAAAATAATTTCATTATCTTTCAATTTTTTCTTCTGGAAAAAAAATATCAAAATGAGTAAAGGGAAAAATGAACTGCACAAACCCGAAATATTTCTTTTAAACTACAGTCTTTTCTTGCTTCCCTATCTTTTTTTACTTGTATCATTTTAAATTTTATCACCCCTAGCTTTTTGCATCATTTTCATCATCTATAAACTCAAAATCTTCACCCTCATCTTTATCAAACATCATTTTCTCTATTAAGTTTAAACCCTTTTTTTATTTAAATGACATAACGAAGTCTTTTGGTTCCCAAAAACAAACCTTTGGGAAAAAATAAAAAATCAAATTCTTTTAAACAGGTTTCCATTTTAAATAAAAAAATAAACAATTTTTTCCAAAAAAAAGTCAACCCTTTAAAAGCTTTTACTTTGATAGCTTACATAAATTTTTAATTATAATTTTTAATAGTCTTTTCAAATTGTCCTTTTAAGTATTAAAATTGGTAAATTTTACATAAGAATGAAAAGATAAACAGAGGGTTGAAATAGGGTCCGTAATACCGAATTTTAAAATTATTAACAACTTTCTGGGATTTTTCAAAAATTTACATAATCATACAGTACACTCACAAAATATCATTATAAAATAAAAGGCAATTTTTTACCATGAAAATCATTCCTTAGATCAACAAAAACTGAAGCAAAAGTTTATATCAATTACCATCATCAAGTTCACCCGCTGATTTAAATGTTTAAAGGTTTAAGATTGACTATCTTCCTCTGTCATCCTTTTCAACGTCTAATTTCTTTAGCCCTGTACAAACATATAAACAACCTTTAAAATAAATTGATTACTGTTAAAATTCTCTCTATTTAACACCAATGCGGAACTGACTCAAAGTGGTTCTTAAAGTGAATTGGTCTTTAATAGTGAATAAAGCCATTTTAAAAAATAATCAGTCCAATTATCTTTAATGTCATGTACTCATGCTCAGACTTTGCTTTACATTTTTATCTTTCCCTAGATTTTTTAACCTTAAAAAGTTTTCAATTTAATTATATTAATTTTCCTATTTACCCAGATTTACAATTTTTGAAACTGAGCCCAAGCAAAATATTTAGAATCCAAAAAAAATAAGACTGAGGTTAAAAGTTTTTAAGTAATAGATTTCACTCTTTCTGGTGCTTTAATCTATATAAAATTTTATAACAAATCAAGGCTAACAATGACAAAGAATTAAAAAATTTTGATCTTAACGAAAATTTCAATAAAATTGGAAAGAAAGAGGGCAATGATGGGGCCCTGAGGTCGCTCACTTGTAATAGGTCCCCCCCCGGAAGGGGCAATTTTAACACAAGGGCTTTTATTTGAACAAACAGGTAGACACCCATAAGCCTAAACATCTAAGCCTATCTCATTGGGTTTTTTAAAAGAATTTTTTTTAATTTTTTACCATAACACCATTAGTTAAACCTGGGGGAGCCATTTTACCCAGGGCTTTTATTGAACCAAAACTTTGTGACACTTACTAGAAGATTGTTTCATGCAATATCTCAGCTCCTAGCTCTTGGTTTTTAAAAAGAAGATTTTTTTAAGTTTTTTACTTATATGCATTATAGGGAAAATCAAATGACACCTTGGGCGGGGCCATTTTGAACCCAGGGCTTTTTATTTGAAACAAACTTTAACACGCATTAGAAGATGTTTCATGCCTAAATATCTTAGCTCTAGCTCTTCGGTTCTTTAGAAAAGGAGATTTTTTTAAAGTTTTACTATAATGCATATAGGGAAAATCCAATGACCCCCCCCCGGGGCGGGGGCCAATTTTTGACCCCCAAGGGGCTTTTATTTGAACAAACTTTTTGTAGACATCATTAAGATGTTTCATGCTAAAATATCTCAGCTTACACTCTTAGGTTTTTAAAAAAATTTTTTAAGTTTTTACTATAATATATTGGGAAAAATCAATGACCCATCTGGGGCGGGGCCAATTTTTGACCCCAGGGCTTTTATTTGAACAAACTTGGTACAACTCACTAAGAAGAAGTTTTCATGCCAAATATCTAAGCTCTAGCTCTTAGGGTATTTTTAAAGAAGATATTTTAAGTTTCTCCTTTCAGTTGCCATGGCAACCAGAGTTTCTGCATGGAATTAAATTCTTGAACAATTTTTAAAGGTTGACCACCCAAAGAAACATTCCTGTAAAAGTTTGGATGAAATTGGCCTTGTGGTTTATGAGGAGATGTCCATTTAAAGTAAAGTTTAGCGACGGACAGACGCCGGACGGGAAAAGGACACGGACGGACGCCGGACGAAAAGCGATCACAAAAGCTCACCTGTCACTTTGTGACAGGTGAGCTAAAAATTAACCCAATCATGCTGAAGCTTGAGTACTAAAGTATATCATAAATCAAGCAATCTTATAAAACCAAGATAGGATAATGACTTCAATTGTCAGTATAATGATTATTTTTCTCAATGAGCAAAGAAAGCAAATATTTTGTACTTTTGAAAAATGGCTTAATATGTTGTAATAAGAATTTAACATGGAAACAGGTGGCACAGGACAACTTTAAGATAATTTCTTCAAAAGTGAGTTATACATATATATTTACCTCTAACTTTTCAAGTCTTTCTTTTTCATCTTTGGCAAGCTCTTCCTCTGACTTTAATCTGTCTGTAGCCTGGAATCATAGTTCTAATAACATTTAAACAATTGAAGAAATTTTCATACTATTTAATTATACATAAAGTATTGAAACAATGAGTAACATGCAAACAACACAACTTTCAATTAAATACATATGTAAACCCTGCTTACCAGATACAACAAAGACATTTTAACTAGGTTGTGTACACTTTCTATTGTGTAACATTTACATAATTGTTCTTGTACTCTTTTATTCAATGTAGACAAATCTAAATAGCATGTAAATTCAATTATATATTCAGCCATACAAAAGATACAAAACTTTTAAAAAAGAAATTCTATTTACTAAAATACAAAATTAAAGCAACAAAACTCTAACTGTACAACTTTAGTATAAGGTAAACTTACCTGGCCTTTCATTTCGAATTGTAAAGATCTAACAGCAATGTCATAGTCATCTGTTGTTTTCTTCACTTCATCATCACTCTTACCCTGAATAATAATAATAATATATAGCTCACTTGCCCTGAATAATAATATACAATAGTTAACTTGCCCTATACAATAGTTAACTTGCCCTGAATAATAATATACAATAGTTAACTTGCCCTGAATAAAAATATACAATAGTTAACTTACCCTGAATAAAAATATACAATAGTTAACTTGCCCTTAATAATAGTGTACAATAGTTAACTTGCCCTGAATAATAATATACAATAGTTAACTTGCCCTGAATAATAATATACAATAGTAAACTTGCCCTGAATAATAATATACAATAGTTAACTTGCCCTATACAATAGTTAACTTGCCCTGAATAATAATATACAATAGTTAACTTGCCCCGAATAATAATATACAAATGTTAACTTGCCCTGAATAATAATATACAATAGTTAACTTGCCCTAATAATAATTTACAATAGTTAACTTGCCCTGAATGAAAATATACAATAGTTAACTTGCCCTGAATAATAATATACAATAATAAACTTGCCCTGAATAATAATATACAATAGTTAACTTGCCCTATACAATAGTTAACTTGCCCTGAATAATAATATACAATAATAAACTTGCCCTGAATAATAATATACAAATGTTAACTTGCCCTGGATAATAATATACAATAGTTAACTTGCCCTGAATAAACATATACAATAGTTAACTTGCCCTGAATGAAAATATACAATAGTTAACTTGCCCTGAATAATAATATACAATAGTTAACTTGCCCTGAATAATAATATACAATAGTAAACTTGCGCTGAATAATAATATACAATAGTTAACTTGCCCTATACAATAGTTAACTTGCCCTGAATAATAATATACAATAGTTAACTTGCCCTGAATAATAATATACAATAGTTAACTATACAATAACCTCTCAACTACACCTACTAGTACATTAAAGACATTTTAACTTCTGTGTAGAAATATCAGTTAGTTCTTATCACAGCCTTAGTCCTAATGATTTAGCCAACAGCAAATTCTACTCTTGATGGATACATATAATCCTTGTAGTCTAATCAGACTCTATATTGTTGGTAGCTCAAGTTTTTGTATTATGATACTGAAATCCTTTAAACTTTGAATTCAAAGCAGGGCAAATCCTTTACACAAATTCAACTTGTTAAGAGTTAAACATTTGGATTTCACAAGTAAAATACTGGTTTTCAAAGTTTGAAAAAATTAGGAAATTGGATGGACTGGCAAAATCTGATTCAATTTACTTTCTTTTTTATATGAAACATACTTTTACTTGTATGCATGATATTTATAATGTAAATTCTTGGAACATTTTCACTTGTCCACAACAGCTTTGGGGCAACCTGGGCAATATGGACAATTGATTTTTCCGTCCCTGCTTGGGATTACTTTAAATTTAAATATAGTATAAAACTTGTTTGGACAATAGTTACAGGTTGCTACAGAAATAACTGTGAAAGTAACCTACCTTCATTTTATTTTTACTAATGAGAGAATGTAATGATTTCCATTGTTCATCTAATTCTACTGTCATCTGAACTGTTTCTTCTTTCTCCATTTGTCTCTCATGCTGAAACACAAAAAACATATCGATATTATATCTTCAATTCTTGACATTTAAATCTAGAGTTTTTACAGTAACATGCTTAATTTATTTAATTTTACCCATGAAATATGGTGCTATATGAGTCAAATATATTTCATATCTTTTAAAAATAAATATGAAATATAAATATGAAACTGGGCGGAGTCAAAACTCATATTTATTTTAAGGGACTTCTTTCGCCATTTTATTTGAAAAATCTGATAAATTCAAAACAACTTTTTGTTGAATTTTGCTTCGAAAACTATCTAGAATGATAGAACATTGTCTAACTATGAAAACAAGAGCCCGGTTTGAGCCTGGTGATGCTCCCGGAATAGGTTTTTGACACAGAAAAGTACACCTCTTGTAGTTTCACAGTTATGTCCCTGGAAAATGTTCAAAGTGCAATAATTCCAAAATTAGGCAAGGCAGAGTTACTGTTCTTTGCACTGCACTTCTAATCAATGTGATCTATCAACCTACAAAGTTTCTTGTTGATACCTCTTATGGTTTCCGAGTTATGTCCCTAACAAAGTACAAAATGTAAAAATGAACAAAGGGCAATAACTACAAAATTTGGCAAGGCGGAGTTCTGCTCTTATAGTTTTAGAGTTATTTCCCAGACAAGATTTTTTATAAGGGGAGATAATTCAAAAATTGGGCAAAACAGAGTTATGGTTTTTTTTGTGCTGCACTTTTACTCAATAAGATCTATCTACCAACAAAGTTTCATGTTAATATCTCTTATAATTTTAGAGTAATATCCCAGACAAAGTTCAAAAAGTAAAAATAAACAAAGGGCAATAACTCCACAATTAGGCAAGGCAGAGTTATGATTCTTGTGCACTGCACATCTAACTATTGAGATCTATCTACCTACAAAGTATTATGTTGATATCTGTTATAGTTTTATAGCTATGTCCTAGACAAGATTTTTCTAAAAGGGGAGATAATTCAACAAGAGGGCCATGATGGCCCTGAGGTCGCTCACCTGTATATATAGGCCCCCCCCCAAACCCCCACCCCCCCCCCAACGTTGCAGGGCCAATTTAACCCAAGGGCTTTTATTTGCACAAACTTGGTAGACACCCATAAGAAGATGTTTCATGCTAAACATCTAAGCTCTAGCTCATTGGGCTTTTTAAAAGAAGATTTTTTTAAAGTTTTTACTATACACATATAGTTAAAAACAATGACACCCCTGGGGCCGGGCCAGTTTTGACCCCAGGGCTTTTATTTGAACAAACTTTGTAGACACTTACTAGAAGATGTTTCATGCTTAATATCTAAACTCTAGCTATTTGGGTTTTTTCAAAGAAGATTTTAAGTTTTTGCTTTACACATATAAAGAAAATCAATGACCCCCGGGGCCGGGCCAATTTTGACCCCAGGTCTTTTATTTGAACAAACTTTGTAGATACTCACTAAAAGATGTTTCATGCTTAATATCTTAACTCTAGCTATTTGGGTTTTTTCAAAGGAGATTTTTTAAGTTTTTGCTATACACATATAAGGAAAATCAATGACCCCCGGGGCGGGGCCAATTTTGACCCAAGGGCTTTTATTTGAACAAACTTGGTAGACACCCATTAGAACATGTTTCATGCTAAATATCTTAGCCATAGCTCTTTGAGTTCTTTAAAAGAAGATTTTTTAAGTTTTTACTATATGCATATAGGGAAAAATCAATGACCCCCCCGGGGCGGGGCCAATTTTGACCCCAGGGCTTTTATTTGAACAAACTTGGTAGACACTTATTAGAACATGTTTCATGCTAAATATCTTAGCTCTAACTCTTTTGGTTCTTTAAAAGAAGATTTTTTAAGTTTTTACTATATGCATATAGGGAAAATCAATGACCCCCTGGGGCGGGGCCAATTTTGACCCAAGGGCTTTTATTTGAACAAACTTGGTAGACACCCATTAGAACATGTTTCATGCTAAATATCTTAGCTCTAGCTCTTTGGGTTCTTTAAAAGAAGATTTTTTAAGTTTTTACTATATGCATATAGGGAAAATCAATGACCCCCCCTGGGGCGGGGCCAATTTTGACCCCAGGGCTTTTATTTGAACAAACTTGGTAGACACTCACTAGAAGATGTTTCATGCCAAATATCTAAGCTCTAGCTCTTATGGTTTTTTAAAAGAAGATATTTAAAGTTTTTTCTTTCGGTTGCCATGGCAACCAGAGTTCTGCATGGAATTTAATTCTTTGAACAATTTTTAAAGGTGACCACCAAAGGAACATTCCTGTGAAGTTTGGATGAAATTGGCTTAGTGGTTTATGATGAGATGTCATTTAAAGTAAAAGTTTACGGACGGACGCCGGACAGACGCCGAACGAAAAGCGATCACAAAAGCTCACCCTGTCACTTTGTGACAGGTGAGCTAAAAATGAGGCTTATCAGAGCTATGGTTCTTTTGCACTGCACTTCTACTCAATGAGATCTATCTACCTACAATGTTTCATGTTGATATTTCTTATAATTTTAGAGTTATGTTCTGGACAAAGTTCAAAGTGTTAAAATTAACAAAGGGCAATAACTCCAAAATTAGGAAAAAAAAGGTTATGGTTCTTGTGCACTGCACATCTACCCAATGATATCTATTTACCAAGAAAGTTCCATGTTGGTATCTCTTATAGTTTTAGAGTTATGTCCCGGAAAAGATTTTTCTAAAAGGGGAGATAATTAAAAAATGAGGTTTAACAGAGTTATGGTTCTTTTGCACTGCACATATACTCAATGAGATCTTTCAACCTACAATGTTTCATGTTGATATCTCTTATAATTTTAGAGTTATGTTCCAGACAAAGTTCAAAGTGTTAAAATTAACAAAGGGCAATAACTCCAAAATTAGGCAAAAAAGGTTATTGTACTTGTGCACTGCACATCTACCCATTGAGATCTATTTACCTACAAAGTTTCATGTTGATATCTCCTATAGTTTCAGAGTTATGTCCCGGACAAGATTTTTACTATATGCTCTCCCTTCGGAGAGCATAACAAATCCGAACACCAATATCTTAAATTGAGTTATTAAAGCTGTAAAGACATTTAAACAGTTGTTTACGTGAGGTTACAATGTAGTGCCAAATATTGTGTGCAAAACAACACGCAATAATATATTACTGCGCTCTGTACAACTGCAGTTGCGTAGTTTGTAACCACTTTTCTTTGATAATGAAATTAAAGTGACATTATGCCCATCTAAAGGTATATAGTGAGTGAACAGGTGAGAGTTAAAATAAATTTTCATTTTGCCGTAATTCCTTTTGATTTAATAATTTACTGCGCATAAACAATAAATAACCACCAGATTCAAACGAAATTTCAGTGCATATAATTTACAATGTACCTGTAATGTTCAATTTATAAAAAGAGTGGGGCAGTCTTTTTATATTTTAGGCAGATTTCAATTTTTATCATAAATATTTTCAAAAAAATCTGTTGGTCAAACATCATTTTAACAGTCAATCTTTTGAAATATAAAGTCAATTCAGCTCAACTTGACAATGAAAATATGAGCATAATGTCACTTTAAATAAAAAGGTTATTTTATTGTTTTTTGTGAAATATTGAATATATTTTCCGGCTTGTGAAAATATGTGGCATTTTATCATGTTTCGTGAAAATATACTCCATATTTCTCTCAAACGAAAAAATATCCTAATAATATTAACTGTTGTTATAATAAAATTTGCCTGTATATATGAAATCATCCTCATCAGAAACCTTTTGACACATTTCACCTTTATTTTTTACTGCTTGGGATTTACGTCGCACCAACACAGTATAGGTCAAATGGTGACTTTCAAGCTTTACTAATGGAGGAAAACCTCTGGTGTCCTTCAATGTGTTAAATCAGGCACCAACGGGCTCCCAAGTAGAACCACCAACATTCTGTAAGCTAGCTGGAAAGCTTCCTCACATGGTAGAATCCAAAGTCCCTGTCAGAATTCTAACCACAGCTGTGAGGGGCAAGTGGATTGAAGTCCAACTACCTTAAACCACTTGGCCACAGATGCCTCAAACACTCCAGCTGTAGTGGTGTACAACGAGCCTTTTACAGAATGCAAAGCAAACTTGGCATAAACTTTCATAATAAGTACTATCTTTTAATCTTTTAAGTACTTTAATAAAAAACAGTTTTGAGGTAAGTAAATTAGACTTTATTATCTGTAATTTGTAACTGCAAATATTGCTTCTTGGTAATATATTTGTGGGAGGGATCACTTAAGAAATCTAATTTGCATAAATTTTGCTTTCACCTTTTTCTTTTTTGAGTCTTTAATCATGTCCTCCATTCTTTCTTTCCAGGACTTCTTTTCATCTTCAGGGTCTCTTCTCTGCATAAAACCTCCAAAATGTTCTGTGGCAACAAGCTTAGCTGAAACAATCCAAACAGTATTGAGTTATACAAGTAAGGTCATAATTGCTCATGTGACCACATGTATTAAGCAAACTTTTTTCTTCAGCAACCATTTTGAATTCCATCAAATCATTAGCTTATGATATCAAATAGGTCAATGAAACTCATCAAGCCTTTGTGTTTTTAAAGAAAAACTTTATGAAAACACTTGTGTTAACAACAAAACAACCAGTGTCAACAATCTTTGAACAGAGGAAATTCCAGAACTGATAGCAAACGCAAATTAAGTTATGTAGGGTGATTTATTCAATAAAATTGATAAAACACACACTGTTCCTGTTAGTTGTCTGCAGTAAATTGAGTGTGTACCAGGAGTAGAACCACTGTTCTGTCAGTTGTCTGCAGTAAATTGAGTGTGTACCAGGAGTAGAACCACTGTTCTGTCAGTTGTCTGCAGTAAATTGAGTGTGTACCAGGAGTAGAACCACTGTTCTGTCAGTTGTCTGCAGTAAATTGAGTGTGTACCAGGAGTAGAACCACTGTTCTGTCAGTTGTCTGCAGTAAATTGAGTGTGTACCAGGAGTAGAACCACTAACACATAGTAAGCTAGCTGGATAGCTGGCTCACATGTAATAATTTGAAGTTCCTGACAAGTTTTAAACCCATGACAGTGAGGGGCAACTGTTTGAATACAATGACCCTAACTTCTCTGCAACAGATGCCTCAAAATATTTATTATGAAGATGAGATATAAATAGGACTTAACTTTCAATTAATTTACATATACTATGTTTATAATACACCTATTCTGATTTAAGGTGCTATAAATTAATAATAAATATTCAATTAATAGGAAAAGGTTTATTACCAGCCGCTCTTTTGTCATCATCATCGTCATCATCATCACTGATGACTGGTTCATCAAACTTTTCTATATCAGCTAGAGACTGGCCATAATGTGTTAACTCTTCCTCCTCATTCAAGTTAAACTTGTTCTTTACTGTTGATTTCTGTAATTTATAAATAACAACAACATCTTTAAATACAGACTATGTATAGTAACGTTATCACTTAACACATTTTACCAATTCAAGTGGAAAGTTATTAGTTTAGGAAAAACAATCTCTCAGGTGTACAAATATTCAAATATGGGTGAAAACATTCCACCCAAGTGGAAAATTCTTTAATACTGGGTAATATATATTGGCATTAGTATTGGGGTATATAGTACATAGAGACAGATGATCAAAACTTAAACTTCGCTTTTTTAAACAGTTTTTATGATTCAGTCTCTCATATAAAGTGACTAAATATGACTATCTACAGTCAAACCTGTGTTAAAGACCGCCACTGAATAAAAATCATCCTGTAAATAAAAGCCACTTTACAACAATCCTTCATTGATTAAAAAGAACAAAGTAACCTCCAAATAAAGCCCACCTGTGTCTCCAAAGGCCATTTTTGGTCTCCCTCTTGAATGACCTTTGTTCACACGTTTGACTGTACTGGCAATTAAAAACAACATTTTTACAAAGACTTGTTATTTAAGATCCCAAGCTGAAATATTAAATCCCAAATCTCTTTTTCCAGTCTTCATTAGAATTTGAAAATAGTTCAATTACCAAACAACAAATGTAAATCAATACCTCTCAAAATTTAGCCTGATAAAAATTTGTTTAGCTTACAGATCTTTCCATAGCATATCTTTTCATCATTTTCTCCTCCAATGACAAGGCTGCATCATGCTCTCCTATTCTCTTATCAATGAAACGATTTTTCTTGAACTGTTGTTCATACTCCTTCAGCAAGGTTGCCTTCCTCTATAAAATAGGTTAAAACTTTATGTGAGTCTTTTTTGTGACTATCATTAATTAAGTTAGGAAATATTTATCAATAACAATGTAGAAAAAACTCAGCAGCACCATTTTTTTCTTTTTGCTAAGTAAGGCATACTTTGATTACCAAACATAAGCAAATATTGGCAATCCTTAGTCAGCCCTTGATTTAATACAAGAAATTATCCTGTCTAAGGAAGAATCTACAGATTTTACAACAAACTTAAATATTTATGAATGAAAATTATCACAAGCAAACCTACATGTAATCATGTAGAAAGTATGCATTGTAAACACATGCAACTGTTGCCAACTGACAATAAAAGAAAATGTAACAACTTACCCTTTTTGTTGCCTTAGACCTTGAAACACCAGGCATACCCTTATCAAATTTTGACATTTTTCTACCGAGAATATCATGTTTTTGTCTGTTGACTTTCACTTCAAAAGGATTTATCTTCTTTTCTTGATGTTTTCTCTTATTTCTTGTGTGATCAGCAGTGGATTTGCTCTTTTTCTTCCCCATTGTAAAGTTGTTACTCAAAATCTGTAAATTATAACATGTGGTTATGATTCATTTTTTAAGTTCATAGATCAAAATAACCGAAGTTCTCTGGAAAAATCACAAAATATATATGTAGAATGTATAGAACAATTAGTTGTATATATCGCAAGACTTAAAATTATTAATGGGGATTGATCAATAATTGATAATTTATTGAGTTTTTCTAGACATCCATTGTCACCACAAAATCATTTATATTTCTTACACCGTAACAGTACAAAATACCTGTATTTACTTATTATCTACAAAGTCCAAGATAGACCTGGTTTATATATTGAAAATTTTATGGTTGTTATGATGTTATCAAATTATTTATAAGAACTTTTTCAATAGCGCATAATGCTTACAGGGGTTATTGATTCCTTGGAAGTCGTTTATCATAAAATTGTAAACAAATATGACAAACTGTAGAGTTATTTCAATTTTATCTCAGACCACTCACCATTTACTCTTGGGTGGGCATAAGAACTGTTCATCATTTAGCAATAGGGGACAAGATGTGTAAGCGGCCAGCTAGCTCAGTCTGGGTGAGTAAACTGTGCAGCCTGACCGGGACTAGTTCTGGCTTCCATAACTTTATATGATGTTGTGCGACAGTAAAGTTATGGGTCAACCCTATTTACAAAGGCTACCACATGCATGCCATAACGTCCAAGATGTCCGGGACATTTGATAAACAAATCAATTTTGAATCAATTCATGTTTTGTTTTTAAATGAAACTTCAATAAAATTGTGTACCCAACTATTTGCTATGGAAATATGTAGAGAATGTTTACCAATATGGAGTCTGCTTTCAAATGAAATCTCGCGGGACTTCCAAGTTTTGGGAATTCTAACATCTATTTTTAGTAATGGACCATACACTATTTTTAGTAAGTGTATGATTTTAAATAAAAACAAACAAATAATTCATGAATCATCACTCAAAACAATATAAATCCAACATGTTTTTGGTACAATGTCTGTTATTGAATAAATACACTGTTTAGCGTATTTTAATACACCTGTTAAAATCGATTAATTCTTATGAATGATAAAGTTTTTATTCGAATCGAGTTGACCTCTGGTTATATCAGCTTATCTCGTTGGTCAACGGTTTATTTTTTAGATTGCTGATTGGATTATTTCAAATTTCTGTTATTGAATTTGATAGGTTGTTTAATTACCTATATATAGGTTATATTTTGCTTTTGCTCGCCATTCTGTTACTTATTTTGTAGTCGAGATCACATTCTAGTCTTTTTGGAAGTTTCGAAAACAGAAAATTTTTCGTTCTTTACATTTCGGCTTATTTATTTTCGAAACAAAATGTAGTTTTTTGTGAAAGGATTTTCGAATTTGAAACTGTTTTCTTTATTTGAAACAGTTTTTTGTATTTATTTTTGTAACGTGTTTTGGTAACTTTTTGTTTGAACACGTTTATTTTATACGTGTAAATTTAAAATGGCGGAGAAGAATCAAGTAGAGGTACTCTTCGACATGATTATGGTAAACTCAATTCTGAGGGTTTCCGGATGGGAGTCAGAAATCCCTTCGGACAATGAGGTTGTTGTTGTTGGTTTAATGGCGCGAAAGAGGGAGGTCGCACTCTTCAAGTACAGGAAGAAAACTCAGCCAAAGTGACCGAAAACACTTCTTTTACTTTGAAAAAAGAATACGAGTCTTTGGTGGAAGGGAAGAGGCAAGAACTACAGAACGAGGCCAGGATAAGTAATTAAAGAAAAAGATAAGTCACAAAAGAAAATTCTTTAGCTGAACTCAGAGGTGAAGAATTTTTAGATCTTTCTCCTTTGAATTGGCATCCTGTACATTACAAGATACAAGATTTAAGAAAAAAATAAGCATTTTAAAATTTGAAAGCAAAGAAAAATTAAAAAGAAAGCTGGGCTTGTTTAGAATCATTTTCCTTTCAGACTTCCTCTGGGTCCGAAAGTTCTGAGTCTGAAACCAAAGCCACAAATTGAAAAAGAAAAAAATTCCGGTACAAAATCTAATCGTATTCATGATGATGGTTCTTCAGATTCTGAATACTCAAGCATACAGTATTAAAACAAGAGGCTGTTCCGTAAGACAGCGCGCGTCGTGACAGCGCCTCGACTTTTTTTAGTGCTTGCCTATAATACAAAACATTGACAGTTAAGGGCCATAATTCAAATAAAATCTTTGACAGAATTACCTTCTCCTGGACATGTTTGGGAATCATGATTGTAAACAAGTATTCCAACTTTCAAATTAATATCTCAAACAGTTCAGTCAAAAAGTGGACTGGTACTAAAAACTTAACCAAGATTCTAAGTCGATAAAAGGCCTTAATTTTTAAAACAAATCCTTGACAGAGTTACCTTCTCTTGCGTACAGATGGGGGTAATGATGTGAAATAGCATTAAAAGTTTCAAAGCAATATCTCAAAGGGTTAAGGCAATAAGTGGATTTTACCCATATTCAATGTATTTTCTAAGTCAAAAAGGGGCATAATTCTGTCAAAAACCTTGACAGAGTTATGTCCTCTTGTCTGTTGATGAAGGTCGTGATGGTAAACAAGTATGGTCAGTTTCAAAGCAATACCTCCAATGGTTTTGAAATAAAGTGAGGTGGTACAAAAAACTTAACCAAGATTCTAAGTCGATAAAAGGCCTTAATTTTTAAAACAAATCCTTGACAGAGTTACCTTCTCTTGCGTACAGATGGGGGTAATGATGTGAAATAGCATTAAAAGTTTCAAAGCAATATCTCAAAGGGTTAAGGCAATAAGTGGATTTTACCCATATTCAATGTATTTTTCTAAGTCAAAAAGGGGCATAATTCTGTCAAAAACCTTGACAGAGTTTGTCCTCTTGTCTGTTGATGAAGGTCGTGATGGTAAACAAGTATGGTCAGTTTCAAAGCAATACCTCCAATGGTTTTGAAATAAAGTGAGGTGGTACAAAAAACTTAACCAAGCTCAATACACTTTCTAAGTCAAAAAAGGGCCATAATTCTGTCAAAAACCTTGACAGAGTTATGTACTCTTGTCTGTAGATGGAGGTTATGATGGTGAACAAGTATGGTAAGTTTCAAAGCCATACTTGTAATACTTCTGAAATAAAGTGGGGTGGTACGAAAAACTTAACCAAGGTGTGACGCCAACGCTAACGCTAACGCCGACGCCGACGCCGGGGCGAGTAGGATAGCTCCCCTTTTCATAGAAAAGTCGAGCTAAAAAGAGTTCATATTCCAAAAAGTCTGGTATTTCTTCCAAATCTTCGGATCATGTTAAATCTCAACAAAAATATCCTCATGCCTTTTTGAGATATGAGCACGTCAATTCAAGTGTTGATTTTGAGTCGTTAGAAATGAATCTATTTGTGGCGGGAGAATTGGAAATCATTTCCCAATCAACAACAAAAAAGAAAGAAAGAGAAGCAAGATTACCTTACACTTTACAGTTATACGCTCAGTTTTTGAGTCGTTCTTTTAAATCTGTAGATAGTATTAGAAATTATCTGAGTGGGGTTAGATCAATGCATTTATTGTTAGGATATTCATTAGATCATTTGAATCAGTTTCTTGTTAATTTGTCTTTAAAAGGTTTGTGGTATTTTAGATTTTGATAATTCTAATGATTCAGTTTTCTGGTGTTTATTTTTGTTTGCCTTTTTCTTGGTGGCTAGAAAGTCAAATTTAGTTCCTACTAGAAAGGCTGATTTGGAAGTTAAACATTTTTTATTACGTGGTGATGTGTCAACCATTTGGGAAAATCTTTGTGTTACTTTTAGATGGTCTAAAACTATGCAATTTGGCCAACGTTTGTACACAACTCCTATTATTAAAAATTGTATCCTTCCTCATTTTATGTCCTGTTACTGCATATAATCATATGCTTAAGGTTATTTCCTACTAAAAGTGTAGATCACCTTTATTTGTGTTAAATAATGATAAAGCAGTTTACTTATTACAATGTTTCAAAAGAGATTAAGATCTCTTCTCTCCTGGAATTGGGTTTTTATGATCTTTATTCCCTAAATTTCGTCACCTCGTCGTTCTGGGTTTTGCTTACATTTTGCTTTGTCCTTCTTAATATTGCTGCTGATGAAATTCAGATTTTGGGTGATTGGCATTCAGATGTCTATAAACGTTATATATCCCTTTCCGTACAAGATAAAATTAGGTATTTTAAATTCGTTAGTGATAAGCTAATGTTTTAAGTGAAACAAATATGTGTGTTAATCCTTGTGCTCTCTTTGTTTGGTATTCTCTTATTTGTACTTGTGTTTTAAGTTTTTGTTTTTTTTTTTTGTTTTTTTTTTTTTCATTTATACTTTTCTTTCTTTTTTTCTTCAGTTTCCCGTTTAAATCGTCTAAGAAATCCTAAAAAATCAAGAAATGTATCATCATTTCCGATTCCATTGCCAAACATGTTTCTGATATTTGGGACAGCTGATATTCGTGCTTTCCCTGGAATCACCATTTCAAAGTTGACTTCAAAGTTAGCCAAAGGAGCAGTTAACTTGAATTATGATAATATCATTATTCATGTGGGTACTAATGACATTAATAGTTCATCTGCTGGAGAAATTTCTTCTTTGTATTCAAATTTAATTTCAGTTGTTAAAAACTTTACTGATCAATTTGATACTATTTATATGTCTTCTATTTTGCCTCGTCCAGTTGACTTTGTTAGTACTGGTGCGAAGGTCAAACAGGTTAATTTGACTCTAGAATCAATTTGTAAAGATAGGAAAATCAAATTTTTGAAGTCTTTTCGTCCTTTCATGAGAAAGCCACCTCCCTAAGAGAGAGTTGTTTGCTATTAAAGATGGTGGCTTACATTTGAACTTAGAGGGCACAAGACGGTTAAGACAATTTTTTATCAATACTGTTGCTCACATGTAATTATGAAGGTTGTGCCTTTCGCTCCCATTTAAGAGAGGAGCTTATGGATTATTCGTATCCATTTATTCATTTCGTTTTGTATTATATTATCTGTACAAGCTGTAGATTGATTATACTAAGGAAAGTGTGGGCATTAATATTTGAATTTTGTTTAAGGGTGCTTATCTTGAATAAGATTCTTATCAAGTTAGCTGTCTTTCTTTACAAGGTAAAAATTAATACCTTGAAGAAAATATTTCTGGAGAAAATGGTATTTCACGTTTTCCTAGAAAAGTTTTGTTCTTTCTATGAATGATTGAGATTTCATATATTTGTATTTGCTACCTATTGTTTCCTTTTTATGAATTTATGAATTCAGCTGTATACTTTACAAAGTAATATTTCATACTTTGGAGTAATTCATTCTAGAGAAAATGGTATTTGACGTTTTCCTAGAATATGGACAATGAGTGATTTCTGTGTTATTTCTAGAGAAAATGGTATCTGACGTTTTCCTAGAAACAGAACAGTATTCAGTGAATTGTGTGTAAACTCGAATGAACACTGTTTTTTCTCAAATTGAATGTGTATTCGAGATTTATAGATAAATCAGCGCAAGACATTTGACGGCTTTCAGTAGTTTATTTGGTGAACTTTTAGTGTTTTGTTTGATTATTTTGAATAATCATATTTATTGTTGTATAGTATAATTATATATATGCATAAATTTTTTTTTATTTTTTTTTTGTAATTATGTTTTTGGCCGGTGGGTTGGCGTTTTGGTAAATATTTATAATGATTAGTAATTCTTTGTGGATTGATTAATATATCATTCTATAGTTTATTAGTGTTGACCAATTTTGCAGTTATCTAGTGATTATTCGTGATCATTTATTAACCTAATTAAATATTATTATTGATATTTCTGTCTTGGTTTTTCTCTTTTAAATTTTAAATGAACAATAATTTAGCGTATTTTAATACACCTGTTAAAATCGATTAATTCTTATGAATGATAAAGTTTTTATTCGAATCGAGTTGACCTCTGGTTATATCAGCTTATCTCGTTGGTCAACGGTTTATTTTTTAGATTGCTGATTGGATTATTTCAAATTTCTGTTATTGAATTTGATAGGTTGTTTAATTACCTATATATAGGTTATTTTGCTTTTGCTCGCCATTCTGTTACTTATTTTGTAGTCGAGATCACGTTCTAGTCTTTTTTGCCCACCCACCCTAGCCCATTTGGTTTAGCATTAAGTTTTTAATGCATTTAGTTATTTTAGTACTGCGTTTTGGTAAATATTTATAATGATTAGTAATTTTTTGTGGATTGATTAATATATCATTCTATAGTTTATCAGTGTTGACCAATTTTGCAGTTATCTAGTGATTATTCGTGATCATTTATTAACCTAATTAAATATTATTATTGATATTTCTGTCTTGGTTTTTCTCTTTTAAATTTTAAATGAACAATAATTATTCATAATTGCAAAGCCATGTTTTCAATTAAAAATAGCATTTGGGTCACGGGTCACCTAATGTCATGCTAAGGTATCGGAACCTAAATTGTCACTAGTCACGTGATAATTAGGGCAGCAATGGCGGCGAATTTTATGAAATGTGAACCCACTGATAAACTTTGAGGCATTATTTCATCAATCTAATGTTCTGTGTTTAAATATATAGACTGAAGTGTCCCAAATATATCTACCCGTATTAAAATAGCTTTTGTTCAGATCACGCAAATTTATTGAATTTCAGCAGGACATAAATATGTCACTGTTTTGGTTAACTTTCGATACGGGATTTGCTTCAGCGAACAGGTCTAGCAGTACTATAAAACCTGTTCGCTGAAGTCTCTTTAGAAATTAGCTAGACCAAGGGCTTCCATTAATGGAAGTTTGGGAGTCATTTACTCCCTGACTTTGGCTTGTAAAAAAATCTAATACTTTTCCTTCTTTACCTATATAATGTGACTTCCAATATCAGAGATTTTGCAGTGTCTGACTTCCAAATTTTGGAACTTAGTGGAAACCCTGTATATAAGACCGGGACTAGCACCAAGGACTCTTGCAACACTGGTCTGCGGCACTACTTACTAGGCTATCCAGTTGCTTACATTTCTTCTCGGTCAAGAAGCATACATCTTATAAATCATAAAGTTATGAAATAGTTCATAAACATCATGATCTGATAAAAGCCTGTTTGGCTCTCCAATTTTTCTGCTAAAGCTATCGCGAATATATGTGACAATTGCGAAAACAAAAATTCAGAGGAGAAAAGTTTGTCATTTAAGATTTCCAAAGAAAGCAGAAAATAATTTGATTTCATTCTAAAATGTAAATATGTCTCACAACAGTAAATTACAAGTGTTAAAATTAATAAATTCCTCACGTGTTTTCGTTTCTTGTGTGTGCTGGGCAGCACGAAATACCCAAATACACCCAAATATACCCAAATGTTACCCAAATATACCCAAATATTGCCTAAATATACCCAAATATTGCCCAATTATACTAAAATAAATGTTTTATACTAATAAAGTGCTGTTTTAATCATGAATACACTTTCACTAAGATATAATCAAACATACCCAAATATACATTTTCCTATCATTGTGTTTTGAACAAAAATACAGTATAATCGGTACAAGTCAACCCGGCCCCAAGTCAACCCGGCCCCAAGTCAGCCCGTCCCCAAATTGGTCAACCCGGCCCCAAACCAATGTTATTTCTGGTCAACCCGGCCCCATTTTTATTATTATTTATTTTGCTTTAAAATATAAACACTTATATTTTACAAAGTAATTATTTTTTATTATTTTTTCTTGATACGATGTTTTATAATAATAAAATGATTTTACATGCATCGTTAAATTTTGTCCATAAATAAAAAAGTTATAAGTTATATTCGAACAGAAGATACCGAATATGACTTATATTTTATAAATTGATTATTTTTTTATTAACTTTTCTTGATTAATAATAAAATGATTTTATATGCAATATATCGTTAAATTTGGTTTATAAATAAAAAAGTTATAAGTTATATTTGTTTTTGTTTTTTTTATATATAAAATCATATCCGTGAAGGACAGAAGATATCAAATATCATTATATGACTTATATTTTATAAAGTAAGTGGGGTTTTTTTGTCTGGATTACAGTGAAACAACATGCAAATAATCGTTAAATTTGGTACAATTAATAATAAATCATTTTTATTCCATCATACAACAAGATGACTTAAATAATTTTCTTTGAAAATATATATTTTGGGGCCGGAATGACCGATTTTGGGGCCGCATTGACCAATTTTGGGGCCGCATTGACCAAATAAAAATACTGTGGGGCCGGATTGACCAATTTTGGGGCCGGGTTGACCAATTTTGAGGCCGGGTTGACTTGGGGCCGGGTTAACTTGGGGCCGGGTTGACTGTAATTCCAGTATAATATTTAAATTTGTACTCCATTTTAAATAACATGTACACTTGTATATGATATGAAATTTCAACAAAATTACACCATAAAAATGTAAGTGTAGACAACAAATATTAATTATATCTTGATTTAAAATTGCAAGTACATTTATAAAGAGTCTACATGTATACTGTATAGGAGATTTTAAGCAAATGTCACAACTTTTTTTTCTTACAACATCTTAACTGCCCATTTCAACGGAATGAATGAAAGTTATAACAGGCTAAGTCATATTATTTTATAAATATTTATTTATTTCTCATTATAATCTATATTTTATACAAACAAAAATACATATTGCTATATTTGGGTATATTTGGGTATATTTGGGTATTTCGTGCCGCCGGTGTGTGCTAGCTTTCACGCAAAATTTACGAATTTAGAATAATATATCACAGTACGAGATAATAAACAAGAAATTAAGAAAACCAGCAAGGAATCACTGCAGTTAAACATCATAAATAAACTGCCAAATATTTAACATTAAAACTTAATATTTTAATTCGACACTAATGAAATTTACTTTCGTGCATATAATTTCCGTATCATAAAGAATTCGTACATAAAATGGTTCGAAACAAATATTGCGCAAATCTATTGAATTCTACAAAGATTTAGGATCATCAATCTAAATAAAAGTAGACATGATCCACCCCCTAATTTTCGCCAAACTGAGCTTAGAAGTTTATATGCTATGTTATCCCTTTTCTATAAGATTCCATGGAGCTAATTGGTTTCGCTCCAACTCCCTCCTCCCGCATATGCCCCGCGAAGGGTACAACATAGTTGGAATATATATATAGATCAAAGGACTGTAAGCTCTGTGGTATTTTTTGATATTTGCAATCTAAATCGTACTGTATATCTGTATGTATTTTCCTGTATTATAGCTTAGTTTTATGTACTACAATTCATCTTGCAGGGCACCAATTTGATACCTACGGAATTTTTCATAACTAGAGTTGCATCAAAAAATCATATATGCTCATTTTTTATGACAGCCACACTTTATCCTTGCATATCGTGGCTACTTCTTTAACAAAGACACTTAAAAAAAGATGCCTCGACTGGGAGGTGAACCCCAGACCTCTCAAACATTACACGAACGCGTTACCCCCTGCACCACGTAGAAGTTATGCAAACGATGCCTGAATAAAATCAAGTAATTCTAAATTTAGAATTTCCATTGCATTTCGGGTTTGTAATCCTTATAAATTTCGAGGTATTTTGTTCACGATGTTTAAAATTGATGTAAATAATTTAGCGAAAATCTTCTCGCCAAAACAGTTCGACATGTAGAATCTATATATTCCACTACTAGACAGTCAGATCAGTGGCGGATTCAGGCCCGGGCTTCAGGGCTGCAGCCCCCCAGCTTGACCCTAAGATATGTTTACCAGCTGGGCTGGAACACATTTTTTGCCAGTTTCAAACTTGATTGGCTGTAGTGCACTCCCTTATCAAAACATTTATTGCTGTCATCCAGTGCATTGTTAATCTCTTAATCTCCTGCCTGGGGGCTTGGCAGAGATCTTTATCTATCAACATGCTTGACTGACTTCAATGTTTTAACTGCATAATTGATTGGTTAATAACTTTCCAAAGGTCTAATGAAATTAATAGTCACAGATAGTGGCAAATAGATATGTTAAAAAGGAATGTAGGACAAAACCCCACCAGTTAAAACCCCACCACTAAATTTTATAGAGTGGACAAAACCCCACCACTAAATTTTACAGAGTGGACAAAACCCCACCACTTCAGTTTTATAGAGTGGACAAAACTTTCTTGTAAACATGTTAAAAAACAAACAATTGTGCATCAGCAGAAACTCAAAAGAACGTGTGAACAACTCATCAATCCAGAAGACTGTAACTGAGTTTCTTCTGGCTATTGGCCACTGTATCCGCTTAAACTTAAAGTACAATGAAGGAAAATAGACTCAACTGAATAAACTAGAAATGTGCTATACAAAATGCGCTATTTTTAATCATTAATTGATGAAAATGTGCTATATTCTTGATTAATAGTAAGTAGTTTATTTTTTATATAAATAAATTGAAGAAATGAATTTGAAGAAACTAATAATAATGGATAATTGAAGGTCATAAATGTGGCACAGTCTCAAATAAATGACTACATGTACTCTTTGATGTTGATTTAACAGTTTGTAAATTGTTTGTATAATCTCATTTATTGTATTATATTGCTATTGAAATAAATGCTATATGCTATAATTATTATGATGTTTTGTTCTTTAGGGATTTGGATGTTTTTTTGTGTACAGTTTGTAACACCTTTTTTGCAATCAAAACATCAAAAAATAATATGTTTTGTTCTTCAGGGATTTGGATTAAGTTTTTTGTGTACAGTTTGTAACAACTTTTTTGCATATTGCACATGCAAGATGTACATGCATTGTTAATAAAATTGTTCATTCTTATATTACACAAATGTTATATTGAAATTAAAAATAAAATGTGAAAAAAATGTGTATATTATATATATTTTAATTCATCAAATCTTGCCCAATAATTGGTAAGTGTGGGGTTTTGTCGACTCTATAAAACTGCACTAGAAAGTAAAGGAAATAACACCATTTTCAACCTCATATTTCAAAATTTTCTCAGTCTATGGGAGGGGACACCCCTCCCAGGCCCACCCCAATTACATATATTTTTTCTTAATTCCATACTATATCATATACACATATATAAGCAAAGTGCATTACCACTCATGAGATGACCTATAAAACACATCAAAATTGCAAAATTTTTTAATGAACAAGATGCTGGCCCAATATTCAAACAAAAGTGCACAATTTTCGCCTGTTGCGTTATTTTTATCAATATTCAACCCATATGTCAGCCCCCCCCCCCCCCCCCCAGGAAACCATGTTCTGTATCCGCCCCTGCAGATTTATTTGTATAGTATTCGGTAATCGACATCGCTAAAATAGCATTTTAATTGATTAAAATCATATTCATCCGCGTAATTTGTGATTGTGCAATAAGCCAACGCTACTTTTAAACTTTGATTACGTTATAATTTGTTGGATACTTGTAACAAAATAAAAATATTTCTTTCTTTTAAATCGCTAGTTTTAAGCTGTTTTGAGAACTACTTGTTGTTAGGTTTGTCGTTAAGAGATTGAATGTCAGCTTTGTATGTCCTAATCTTCGATCAGATCATTTATTTCACTTTTTTATAGAAAGAAGATATATGAAATGTTATTACTGGTAAAGTTTAGCGGCATTAAATCCATGTAAAATGCTAAAACCAATTTTTAATTAGTTTATTTGAAACATATTGACATAATTATATAATCATAACTCTTAAATATTAAGGAATAACGACAAGAATAGTACTTAAATCATAAGCAGTTTAATGATATAAAAGTTTCATTTAGAAACAGGTTTATTTAGCCTACCAAAATTCCTTGTAACATCTATTTCCAATGACACTGTGTAGAAATCAGAAACAAGTATAAGTATATAGTATTTAATAGGTTAAAAAAGACACGGACTAATTAGTTTGTCCAGCTGTGAGCCTTTCATTTGAAATAAAGTAAAGGCAGGCTGATATAATTTAACTTGCAACAGCGTTTATTTACATGTATCATTTAAAACATTACTGTATCTAAGAAGGACATTGGCAAACACAAAATGTTATGATCTTTGCCCTTAATGCTTCCAACCTCTCTGTGGCAATGCTTCACGTATTACTATCCGCATTACTTCCCTTAATGGTATCAACAATACTCTCCACAATACTCCCTGCATTGCCCTCAGTCGTTGATGGTGGTGTATTTCTTTCTTTTCTTTTCATTTATTTTTCTTTTATACCAGCTTTTATATGATGATTTTACAATATTCTACGTATATTCATGATCAATTCATTGTATTGCAATATCATGTTTGTTTTATCTTGTTG